CGCGAAGGGGCCCCGCGCTCCCCGGGGCGGCACCGCGGTGACCGAGGCGCTCCGGGAGCGACGTGAGGTGAGGTGGCTGCAGCAACGTCCCCTGGAGCAGGTAGAGCTCCTGATACGGAGCCGGGGGGATTTGCAGTTTTGCTTAGTTTGACACTGCGCTTTAAACAACTAATCAAAGTACGGTACTCTGAAAAATGTTCTCAGGGCTGAAATGCAACTCGTCACATTGTTTTTCTTTTTAAAAAGAGAGGATTTAAGACTCAGGCTAGATAAGTGTTATGTTGCATGCTGACTGAAAAAGGGAAACTGGGAAAAGCATTTCTCAAAGTTATCAGAGTGCTGTGCCCTGAGAGCTGTCATAAAAGCAAAGAAATGTGGACTTTCACAGGTATGCAGTTGTCAGGTATCTGGAGGTCTTTGCCCCGAAAAGGCTTACAAGTTTCCTTAAAGGATAGTTATTGCTGTGGCGAGAGTCACACCTGCCTGCCCGTGCTCTGCCAGCAGTGATACATGAGCCAACTACTGGCATTAAAATAAGGGAACACCTTTGCAGGAGGTGTGGCTATCCTATTTATTTATTTATTTACTTTCCCCCCAGTCACTATAAAATCGGCTGTTTTTATGTTGTTTTAAAGTGTTGCCACAGACTTAACATTTTTCAGAAGAGTATCTTGGGGCTTTTTCTTTCTTTCTTTCTTTCTTTTTTTTTTTCTCCCACCCCTCTTCCTTCCCCCCCCCCCCCGGTGTGCGAGGACAGGTCATGGAAAAGTTGAAGTTGGTGCTCCAAGTACTGTAGAACTTTGAATCAAGAAAACACATGCTTTTGTGGTGCTTTCTGCAGTAGACTACACTTGAAAAGTTCTTAAGATCAAGTAGACTCCAAAACATGCTACCTGCAGCACTTGAAGGTAAGGTAGGTGCAGGGTCTTCTAATTTGATAGCACTTTTTCAGTTTTGCACTGCATTGTGTTCCAGTTAACCCCACGTGCATGCCATGCACCAATGCTGAAAGATGCAAGTGTTCACTGGTGTTTTTAATAAATACTATATGATGTGTCTCAAATGTTTTGTTTATTTTCCCCCTAAGGGTGCTAGCTTTGGTGGAGCACCCCCTTAGAGATATTGCATCAAGACTGCTGCACAGCACCTCTGAGCTTGTTTTCAGCACCTGTGAAGTCTTTGGGAATGATGCAGGAGAGCTCCAGGTGTTGGAAGAGGCACTCAGTGTCATTAGTTCAGAGTAGCGGTAAATCCTGTAGGTGATGGGAGCTTCATAGCTGGGAGCTTTGTAGGTGGAAGCTGATGAGCTATCATCACTGAGCACCCAGTGCAAGATGTTACTCAGGGAGAGGTAATGAAGAATGTTCCCATTCTTCATCAGCAATGTAATGGTGCAGAACTTTCTCTGTGTGGCAGGCTCATTTTAAGAAGCTGACTAGTAATAAGTAATTATATTTGGCATAAGCAATGAACTCCATGGGGTATATTTCCTACACAAAGCTTCACTCTCTGTATAATTTCCTCTTGACGTGCCTGGGAGTAGGGTGGCTAATGAACTGTATAATCTCTTAAAAAGTGGCCACAGCATGAGGTTAAGAAGCACAGAAGTTAAGAACCCTAAGCTGTTCTGCAGGAGGGATTTGTGAGCCCTCTTGGCTTCTCCGTGAACCCACGAGCCATCAGTGCCAGTGTTCCTGCATGGATGTTGGCATGTGCCAAAAGCCCGGGAGTGCTCGTTCTCCCCTCTGGCTTCAGTGAGAGATCAAACAGGGCATAAAATGGTAGAGAAGTGTGCATTAAAGTCACCATTGTAACACACCCTGGTGTCAAGAAAGGCAAATTGTCTTCCATAATCTACAAAAGAGCATCAACAGCCAACCACCACCAAAACACTACAGAATTCCTGGGAAAAACTGGAGCGTGGGGTGGGGAATGGTGTTGGTCTGTTCTGTGGCTTCCTCTAATCTTGTGGAAGAACTGGCTTGTGGGAAGTTTTCTTGGAGAGGACAGAAATGATCCTGAAATCCAAAATTTTTCAAATCAGCTGCCTCTAATTGCAGTATCTAAGCAATCGTACCCTCTTTTCAACAATAACAGAAATTCCTAGCAAAGAGGAGAGCAGGGGAGGGGGTAGCAGGAGAGGAGAGCTCAAAAGGCCAATCCTTTTGGTGTGTCAGTGTGGGGAAAAGGCATCTCTACCACACTGTGTTTCAAAACCTAGCTTGTCACAAATATTTAATTTCAGTGCTTCTTATAAAACTGGGGAGTGTTCAATCTTGCAGGTTTCCTCCTAAATAAACTTTACCCAGAAACCTGCTGCATCAAACACATGCCACAGCTTGATTCATTTTAGTGATTGTGTTGCCAAATAGTTTTCTTTGCCAAGCCTGTGCTTTTGTAACATCTTACTTTTTGCCGTGGGATACTTGCAGCAGAAATCTGTGACATTGAAAGAAGTTTAAATGTTCTCCGATGCCTCTGTCCTCTTAATATTTATTAAGAGACTATCACTTCAAATTTCCTATTCCTTGATTTGCAGAAATAGTAAGTGTTTTGACCTCTATCCTTCAGTGAGGAGATCTGTCTGCAGGAGCTATGCAAGTTCATACAAGGAGCATTTAAAACCCAGTATGCAATTTTAGAGTATGCTAACTATTGCTATATTTTTCAATGTTTTTCAGGATTGGTCTGGCAGTCTTATTGTGGCCTCCCTAGTCGGTGCTTTTGGGTCATCCTTTCTGTACGGTTACAACCTCTCCGTCGTGAATGCTCCCGCGGTGGTAAGTGACGGTGCTGACTCTGATAGAGTAGGAACTCTACATCAGTAGAGGGCAACCGTGCCCAAATGTTGCACAGCATTCTGCCATATAATCCTCTTGATGTGCTAGGAGAGGTTAAATAAACTGTTGTAACTTTTGTTTACTGGAAGGGTTCTTTCTGCTGCTTATGGGGCTTTAAGACAAATTCAGTATCTGACGGGAGATTAAAAGGCTGCTTTTGAGCTGAGGGAGTGCACAGGGTTTCTTTTTTGTTCTTGTCAAACCCAGACTAACGCTGTATCTTCTTATATGCTTTTTATGTCATAGGTATTTTTATGTCTATCTGACTGCTGATAGTGGCTGTGCTCATATTCAGCAACTCTTGTTCACACTGCTCTGTTCCAGAGGGTTGCACAACACTTCATGCCTGAATTCCAGGGACTATAAATAACGTCTCTTAAGCAGTGAGCCTCCCCTTTTGCATTACATGGGGATGCCTCATTTGTTGTGTGCATGAAGCTGCTGCATTGAGTGTCTGCTCGGTGCAAAATGTGGAACGTGTCTGAGGAACAGTGCTGCCTGATCAGTCTGCCTTACTTGGGTTTGCTTGATTTACAATAACTGATATTTCAACATCTGAAAGTTTTGTGACTACGTCGGCAGTCCAGAGAGCCTCATAATTCAGTCAAGTGCAGCAGTAAGCAGTGCAGTGAAACTGCAAGCAATACTCTTTTTTAAAGAAAAAAAGAAGTAATTCCTATATTTTGACATTTCACTTAAAATTCTATTTCAAAAAACATTCTTTTCAAATAAAAAAAATCTTTCTTTTTAGCTCTTTCTTTTATTGACATCAGTTAATAAATGTGTGGCTAGACTTCCACCTGAACACCTTGGCCATATTAAAAATGGATACAATAGTTACGCAAATAAGGAAAGAAGATTAAAAAAAAAAAAGTTTCATATGTGGGTAGAGAGTGGAAGATTGGTGGGGAGACAGGAGCTTGTTGACTGTTCATTATTCCAGCCGCCAAATAATTGGTGTGCAGAATCCATAAGGTAGATTGTGACTTCTTAGACTTTTGCAATACAGGCATCCATCTGGACTTCTGTATTCCTGAAAATTACTCCTTTCCTTGTTATCTGTATACCTCAAGAATTATTCCTTTGTTATCTGTAGTACATGTGCCAGTACCCTGTACCTCATACTGCAACCTATTAATTTGCCTTAACCCTCTCCTCCTCTGAACTTTACCAGGCTCTGTGGTACCTGGGACAGCCTGATCACTTCCCTGCAAGGTTCCTGTTGTGTTTCTGGTATTTTAAGATAACAAACATTTAATAGCCTTTCTCTGAAGTGATGTCTTTTACGTCTGCTATTCCAAGTATCAGTTACTGCCGCTAATATGTGTATTGTGTTTGATAAATTGACAAGTAAGAGGATTATGAATGGACATGCCCTGTAGGAAGTTACAATTATGTACTTGATGGTTTTGGGAATTTTCAGTTCCTTCGGTAATGATAAGACAGGACAGATAGATTGGATGTTTATCCAGTATAGTATGACAGTTCCCATGCATCACTCCACCCTGCAGTCATCAGGAGGAAAATGCAGGTTAGAGAGCAACAGTATTGATGGTACTGGTGGTACGTGTCCTTCCTCCACCAAGTCAGTACTGTCATTATAGCAGTGAGTGATTTTTTTTAATGGATTGTCCTGGGAATCAGGGCTCTCCTGCTGTTTTCTACAAGAGTAAAAGAGAGAAAGGGTGATAGGAAATGCTGCCTGGCAACATGTGGGTGGTTAGATGTGAATCATGTAGTAATTATAGTGGCAATAAAAGTGCAGGTGAGGAGGTCAAAGGTGAAGGCATATCGCAATTTAACATCTAATACTAAATTCTGTGCATCCTGGTTAGTTGTATTTCTAACTATCCATTTTTGCTTGAAATCCTTCTTGGACTGTAGCTGGTCACCATATTGGTGGCCTTAGTCATATACTTGACAGGTGTATGTGGTCTGCCCTGTTCTAATGAGTTGTTTCAGTGGTTTTGATGGAGAATTTAGTGTCTTCCTTATTTGTGTTAATGTCCCATGCATATGCATGCCACAAGATAACCCTTTGGGAACAGTGATGGGGTAGAGAAAATCATAAGGGAGCTGATTTTTAGATGCAGATAAGCTTTTATAAAGGTGCTGTCTATATTGAAAATTCCAGTATTTTCCGAAAGTGGTAGGCTGAGTGAGTAAGGAAATTGGCAGGGCAAATAACTTGAACTGACTTGTTCTGGTCATGTGCGACATGCCGCCTGCATTGGTAGTGCTGAGTATCTCTGTGTAGGGTGCTGGGCGTCGTCTGCTCCTGGTTACTTCAGTTAGGTTCCTGCCAGTGTCTTGGAGGAGGAGGCCTTAGAGGAGGCTCTGTATGGGGCTAGGAGAGGTATTTACAAAGTGCTTGATAAAGACCATTGACTCAAGTGTGGGCTCTTTCCGGGATACTGGAAGTGAAAACCTCGGCATTACCACAAAGCTGTGGGGAGAGAAGTATGTTTACGAGTGAAACTCTGAAGAATGACGTTTGGAAATTCCTGAGGTCATTTCCTTTCTGTGCTCAAGGCTATGCCAGGTCTTGAAGCAGGAGGGAAAGTCCCGTGCGGCGCTCAGTGTTCTCCTTAGTGCGAGTCACCTCATCAGGCGTGAGTGTCAGACAAACCTCTGCTGGCTTGCCAGGGAGAAATAAACTACACGAGGTCTGCGCGGAGCTGCCCTGGCTCTGCCAACTGGCACAGAGCTGGGGAAAGGGATTAGTTCCCATTCTGTCCCCTGTCTTCCTGAGAGACAGAGTAATGGCCCAACACAGGCACGCACCGTGCTTGATTGTATGAGAAATCTAGAATTAGCAGGTTCCTTTGGCTGGTTGGTTTTATAGGCTGTGGGTCTATCAAACGCCTGAGTGTGAGGTATGCTAAGTGTGAAATATTATCAGACTTTATTAAACACACACGGGTTCTTTTGGTAATAAGAAGCAAAATATTTTGAGTGAATATGAATTTGAGTGCATATAAGTTGCCTTTTTCTGAGCTGCATTTTTAAAATTCTTTATATGGGCCTCTTCTCAGTAGGGTCTGCGGAACAACAACACAATGATTTGCTTTGTTCCTAATGCAGGAAGAGAAATCTCTGGTGCTTATTGCTACACAGTTACTGCTTTCTTCCTGCTTGAGTTTGCATTTCTACATTCCTTAAAGACTCGATTCTGGGAACTGACTGCAGGGATGGGTAGCTGACGGAGGCAATTGGGCAATCATCAGTGCGTACAAGTGGGCCTAGTAACAAGGTCAAGGTCATTTTCCTTCTCTAAAGATGGGTTCTCCTCTCCCTTGATACAAGTTACTTGTACTAAATTTGAGAGCTAAGAAAAGCTCCCTTGTGTCTCCATCCCTCACACTGCTACGTTAATGAACAGAATATGAGTTACCAATACCAATCATCTACAATTCCTTGTAGGCTTTGGTTAAAGGATAAGATTTTTGAAAAAGACTATTTTGGCCTTTATTATTATTGCGTTTTGTTATTATTTTATTACTATTCAGACAACTGATTGAAATCCGAAACCATTTCACAGTATTCAGTTGACTCCAAGTAGCTGTGTTGGATTTTATATTTTTATTTTCAAGTGCAACACCTCAAAACCTGCATGTGTTAATAAATTCCCATTTGTGGGTGATATCAGCATGAATATTTTAGTCTATACTTAGTCTATACTTTATTTTCTTGAATAGTTTCAGTTATTCTACATCTCCTTGTGAACAAAGCTATGTTGAGAGCTACTTTACAAGAAAATTAGTTATTACATGATGGGAAAATAATTTGCATACTATTTTTGGTCATTAGCAAGAAATGCTAATAGTATTCTAAAAATATCTTCTCTTGCTATTCATTTCTATCAGAAATTACCTTCAGATAAATATCTCAATCTAAATTTAATCCGAGTATTGGCATAAAAGAGGATGTGTTACTTGATTTAGTGGCAGATTCATTTGGAACTTTACTGTAGAACTCTTTTAAATAGACCAAGCACCAAGTTGACTATTTTTTTTTTCTCTTAAAAGTATGTTCCACAGGACTTTCTGGACAAAATGCTTTTGTGTTTGTTCAAGACTGATAAAATAACTGACAGTACAGGATATGTGTCACAATTCAGCTTCTTTTAAATAGTCTCAGTTGCAGAGGAATTGAAATGGATAAGGTATGAAAAGTTTTTTTTGGAAGATAGAAGCCAATAATTAGATATCTGTACCTGAAAAAATGAACAGAAGCTATTGTAGCAGGATGAGAAGTTAGGGAAGAGCTGTTAAGACTTTTGTGACAGAGAATCTTCGTGCCTCAGGAATTTATTGGAGTTCCTCAAAAATTCAGGAGGCTCTTGGACTTTCCAAAGATGTTTGGGAAGAGCACTTACTTGAGGGCTTTTAGGGACATGAAGCCACCGTGGGAGAAGAGCACAAGTCTTGGGATAGTTGAAGAATCAGAAGATGGGGAAAAAAGCCTAATATCAAGTTTTCATTTCTTGAGAGGCAGTTTGTTTTGCAGAGCTCATATCTGGATGTTGGATGTCTGATTGCTTGTTTAATACACCTTTCTCTAACCCTCCTCCACCCCCAAAAAAAAAAAAAAAAAAAAACAAAACAAAACCTGCTTGCCTTGTTTAGCAGCCTGTCAACAGGAGTTGACAGTGTGACAAAGTCAGCTCCTTTGGACTGATGCTGTGGGTCTTTTTCCACACCTTCCCCCAGCCCCTGGTACTTTGAGGCACAAATGTTATCTTTTATTCCTTGGCTTAGCAGGGTCTTGATCTTGTATGGTAGCCAGGCGCTGCGGTATCATAAATACAACTCAAGTATAGACATAACTGCCATTCTTCCTTCAGAACATGAGCTCCAGTTGTTTTCAATTCACTTAATATTTAAACTAAAGAATTGTCTATACTCTTAAAATCCTTTCCCTTTGAAAAATACAGACTAGTAAAATATGCTTATTTTCAAACAGATTTTAGAGCTGGACTGAACTATAAGACTGAAGTATAAAATAGCAATAAGTTATTTTCCTGAATGATTATAAGTACTTTTATTACCTGTGTATATCTGTGAGTCGTTGCAGTTTTGGGATTTGAATATGACTTGGGGCAATGTCGTATTACTGTTGTTGGGCTTGACTCCCTTCTTCCTGTTGAGCAGCCCCAGGAGGATGGATTTTGGAAGGACCTTTTGCATGAGGGAATGAGTCTGGGATGGGCACGTTGAAGACAGAGATGATACCAAAGGATATTACTTGCATTGCAGAAAGTGCCTATACAAATACCTGGGGATAGTCTTCATTTTAAACTCCCCCCAAATACCTTAATTTATGCTTTTGGTTCTCTGTCCTATAAGCCAGGCCTAGCGCTCTTCATGACAGTCTTGTTGCCCTCTGGCAAGTATTTGTGGCAGCTCCCTCCTTTACCTGGGGCCACCAATTTCTGCCTGCTATCCAGTTTAAGCCGTTATTACCTCTACCTGGCAAACTCTAACTTTCCCCAAAAAGCGTTAGTCTGGGATGTCTAACTATGTGCGTGGCCGGTCAGTGAAGTGCGGCGAGGGTGCAGTGATTTGTTGAGCACGAGTGACTTGGTCGTGTGCCTTAGCCCGTGCTCGGGCTGTGATGTGTATCCACAGGAGGGCTCCCACTGCTGTTGTGAGTGTTGTGCCGAAAACATAACTTGTATTGCCACTGCTTGTTAGGAGTCTCTGTTCTACAAGTTTCTTCTGCATTTCTGTCTACCTGTGGGATTCTCGTCCACCTTTTTTTTGCTGACTTGCGGTTAGAAGTGTGTGTTTTGATTCAGAGGTCATCTGTATTGCAGTTGCATCTAGAGGTGAGGCTCAGCCTTTTGGAGCAAGTTTCAGGAGGTCCATCTCTGCCAGTGGCTACAGTCTCTTGTGTTATTTTTGTTTTGTTCTTAAAGAGTGATTTTTATTTATTTATTTTTACAAGTATTATTTTTTTTTCAGTATATCAAGAGGTTTTACAATGAAACTTGGCAAAGAAGATATGGCTCCTCGATGGAGGAAAACACGCTGACGCTCCTCTGGTCTATAACTGTCTCTATTTTTGCCATTGGTGGCCTTGTGGGTGCGATCATTGTCACCCCAATTGTGAAGTTCTTTGGACGGTAAGTGTGTTTGAAAACTCCTATCTAAAGTTGTTGTTTATTTGGTCTCTTTAAACAGAATTTGTTATTTCTTTTGATAACCCCCTTTATTCCCGCTCCCCCACTGCCTGCCTCCCACTCTGGAAGAGGGCATTTCTTGAAAAAGAAACCTCTGGAGAGCTCTATTAGAATACAGATTGAAAAATTTTGAGATTATAAAAATTTGGTTCTAAATAAGGGTAAAATTAATACTTCTGATCTCAGTATGCATTGTCTGACTTTGCAAAAGACATGTGTTCTGAATTGGCAGTGGGTTGAGGTAACAAGGAAGTCAAATAGTCAGGAGTGCAAGAGGAAAATACTATAAAACAAGAAGGATTTCATAAAGGATTGGCAGACTCTTGTTCCATCAGTCTGCTGAGTTTCTCACCCTACACAAATAAAGCAATCAACATGTCTCATTTGCTTCGCAACAGCATTTGTTGTCTTTTGGTAATAAAAATGGTTTTCTTTTTTCTTCTTTGTGTCAACTTAAAGCACAGTTTGAGAAAAGCAGACTAGGGTGAAATTGCTGTTTCTTGTTTCCACATTCTTAGTGTCTCCTTCTCTGCTCAATGCAAAGCCATATTTGACTAATGGTAAATCTCAACCATAGAAAATCCTGGTACTTTGGGAATGTCTGTGTCCATGTGTGTTGGCATTTCCCCAGTAGGTGACAATGAGATATTTTCCATCAAATTTGTTTTATCCAATTCTCCAAAATTTGTAATTTCACTGTGCTTAGCAGAGAAGCCACTGTAACTTTCACCTTAACAGCCTATTGCATCTTTGGCTTGTATTTAATTGTAAATTCTTTACTAGTTGATAATTTCCATTTGATTAAATCATTGAGTAAGATAATCAGAAGTTCAAATACATAGGCATCCACCTCCACTGTTCTTACTTGTGTTCTATAACTTGACTTTTTTCATCATTTACTTTATATCTTTACACTGTGCTTTCCCAAGCCTAATTCTCATCTCCCTTGAATCCTGTTTGGATGTGGGTTTTGTTTGTTTGTTTTTGTTTTGTTTTCTTCACCTCAAACTGTGTGATTCGAGGTTCTTCCATTTCATGCTCCGAGCAAATCTTTATTCTCTGATCTGTAGATCTGTTATCCACTCTTCATTTATTTACTCTGTCCCATCATTTTACCACTTGAGTTTCAATTCTTAAATATTTTTCACAGTCACTTCTCTTTCAGTCTGGCAGCTTCTTCTGCCAATTCATCAATTTAGCTTTTAAGCATCCCTTGAATATACGAAACTATCCCTGACTCATACTGATTAATTCCTGAAAGCATCACTGAATGGGCTGTGCTTCATTTAAAAAAAATGAAGTTAAAATGAATTCAGAGAAGATCTGAATTTTTGCTAAAGAGTGGAATGGCTTTGTGTGCAAGTTTGTTCAAGTGGGGCTGTATGAATACTCAGCTGTATGAATACCACTTTGCTGTGTGCAGGTCATATTTCCAAGGCAGAATTTTAAAGCTTGGTGGCTCTGTCCCATTTACTTGATTTATACCTGCAAGTCATGAAAACAGCACTTACAGATACAGTGTAAGAGTATTTGATTGGGGTTGGAAGGAATCACACTTGCAGACAGATCCTGGGTAAAGGCCGCTTATCGGAGTGTGATTTTCAAGTTTGCTGTGTCTGGCCTGGGAAACAGACAGACACATCAGTACAGTAATTGAAGAGCATTTCACCAAGTGCTGACAGGACAACAAACAGACAGAACAGTACGATACTTGTACTGTAAGATTGTTCAAGTGGTGGTTGAAGAGCTGTAGGCACATGCTCTACTTACACTGATGTGGAATAGTGAACAAAAGGGAATCAACAGCATTAGTCAGAAATAAGGCATCACTGTGAAAAGGGCGCTCTCATATTGCTGTGAGATTAATAACATAATCATCAAAAATGATTTGCATTACCAAATTGTATATATTTCCAGCGAGGTTTAAGGTAATTTTTTTTCAAAGAAAACTTTTATTCACATTCTCATTTTCAATAGTAATTTAAATTGTCTTCTACTGCTGAAGAGCAGCTGTGGTCACAGATCCTAAACATGAAGTGCTGTGTACCAATGGATGCTGCTAGGAATGCTTGCAAAGGAGGGGTAAGGCCTACCCCCATGAACCATTTTGAGTCTGAAGAGATTAAAGGGCTTTGTCTGGATTATTTTTGTAATGCTACAGCGTCTTTTATTCTGAAGTGATCTACTGTACTTAAAATGGTGATCAGTATTCATCTTGTTATTGGCTTTTACAGATAGCTATTTAAACTCCTAGTTTTACTGTCTTTTTTTTTTTTTTTAATTAAGGTATTATACTTGCTCTCTACCCTGAACTTCTACATTCTTTCTTATTACTGAATTTTGAGGCAACAATACATTTTGTCACAGTTTATTAATTCTAGTCTCTAAGTAAGACCAGTGCAGCTGAGCAGCTGTACCTGGTAGGACTGTTATGGTCTCTGAAAGCTGGGGCAGGAACCTATGAGAGCAGGTGACAACTTTGAAATCACAAGATATTAAATTGTCTGCTTTTTGCAAAAAGTCAAGGACAATTCTTAGGGAAGGATTTTCAAGTGTGCACAATATCCAAAATATCTAAAGTAGAAAAAGGAAAAGAAAATCCTAAAGTTTAGATCTATTTGTGTCTAGCTAATGGGTCATTTCTCCGTCTTGACTGGGAAGCTAGTATAAATAGTGATTTACTTATTTTTTGTCTGAGCAAATGGCTCTTCCATTAAGACTGTCTTACATTGAGTACAGAATTGGAAACTGCATTCACAGAATTATGCCTGCAGCTACACAGATACTTAGCCACAAGAGAGAGATGGATTTTGGTACCAAGTTGCAAAATTTACGCTTCGGCTTAGGATGTAACCACTTGTGACAAGTCTTCTGTGTTCAAACAATCAGAAGTTTTTGGAAGGAACTTCCTGCTGGAATGAATGCAAACGTTTCATCCCCAAAGCTTTATTTCTTTCGGCTGGAGACAATGCTGAATTATTTGAGTAGAAAAAAAAAGTTTCACATTTAAATGGACAGTAATGTAGTGTTTTTAGTGCAAAAACTGCGATAGAAGTGGCTGGCTACAAATGGTTTGATTAAAATACACATGCTATAAAAAGAAAGCAGTGATTCTCTTTCTCTTTGGTCCCACTTGGGGCATCCCGAGGCTTCACGGCTAATGACTGACTCATGCCTGGGAGCCAGGAGGGCGCAGAATGAGGGAGGCAGCCTGAGCCCGGGCTCCCGTTCCTGCTCCTGACACTGTTTTGCTTTAGGTCGAGTCCTCTTTACTCTCTCATCTTCTGTTTACTAAAGTTCCCCATAAAGATGCTGATGCGCGCTATAACCTGCAGCAGGGTTGGAACATGAAATATGCTATGTTAGAGATAGGCATAGTATTTATGCTTTAGCATGTCTTGTATACCACCTGGACTCTGTTCCATCACTTTAGGATTTGGGAGGCAGAGGAAATGATTAAGCTGTCCAGCACATAGGTTAGCTTTCAGGCTTGTGCTGAAGTAGGGTGTGAGTAGCAAACACAGTTATTGGTTTGTCTGAAGCTTCCCGAAGGAAAGTGTCTGCTTCCATGTTCTGCGAAGTGTGGTGTATTTATATTACTTACAGCAGAGTTAAACAGCATCTGGGGGTTTTGGGGATTGTTTTTTAATATGATATTTTCTCTAGAGTAACACAGTTTGGAGTCTATGTGACCAGGAAAGCATGGGGATTTATTTTTGTAGTGATCTTGCATATAGGATGACCTGACTGGAACAGAGTTTATGGAGTAAGTCTTTGAGCTCTGGGCAGGTTTGCTATTTAATCTCTCCATACAGAGTCACTGTGATAGAGCTTTGTGTCTTAGATCTT